TTAACATAATTATTTTCCGTAACACAGAAATGAATGCTTCTGTTTAAATAGAAAAGAATTCAGCCCAGTTATCCAAACATTAACTCTCGAATTAAGTACATGGACACCACCATGAGCATGTTGCTTGCCATTAACTGCCAGCAGCAATAACCGGTTGTTTGTTCCCAGCATTCAAGCCGCCAACCCACGAACAACGAATCGAGCTGTTCGTGAACGTACGAGAACAAGCCGCCCAAACTAAGCCTGAGTGTTCAAAGAACATACATGTAGTTGCAGAAAAAGTCATCCCAAATCCCATAATGATTTCCTGGAGGTTTTGGCCAAAGTAATCCAGAATCTGACGACGGTTTTTTTAAAAATCGATAATCCTGACGGGAAGTCATTGAAGAATATTGTTTGAGGCTCCTAATTTTTAAGACATTGTTGCAATTCAATAATGCACTGGGTTTTTAATTCACATAAATTGCACAGTGCCTACATTAATTTTCCGTATCTGCACTTCAAATTGGAAAATAACACCTTGACTAGTTGGGTCAAGTATATGCACATACTTTAAAATCATCATAAAGAATTTCCAGACGAACAGAGGCCTCACCTATTCGACCTCTTGAATTTCTGAATCTATGGTGTCGCTGTCAAGCTGGCCTTGCTCATGTTCAGCCTCGGCTGCCTCGCCATCTTGCTTGCCCTTGCCATTGGACAGTGAGGCTGTGGCCGCAGTCTCCGGCAGTTTGATCATGACACAGATAGGGTCCGACTGCTGCAGCTGAACGTTGTAGGGGCACTTGGCCAGGTGTACGGCCAGGCTAGGGTGGTCCTCAAACCCCCAGTGCAGGACGGGTGTGAACGCTGTGCTGAAATGCCACACCTGGGAATGCAAGGCCGACAAGCGAGAGCAGATGAAATACAATAGGTCAGGGTTCTGAGTCTACATATACCTTACTGCTAGTCTAAAAAATTTACTCAACCAGAGGTACATGTACATAGCTTCTCACATCTAGGAGTGTCTCCAGCCACGATTTAGCAAGATTTAAAGACAATTAATACCTCTTGTCCTTTAACATTTTTAAATGAATAATTTACTTTTTGAATTGTCATTTGGATCTGCTTGAAACAAGCCTCCACAGTGGAATTTTTCTCATTAAAACAGAAGAAATCCTCTCTTCATTTTCACAAATTTTGCATTCAAATATTCAAATTCAGAAAATTAATCTTCGAATATTTGATACTCAATCGAATATCCGTATATATTTGGCACAGCTTTAACAAGCAAAAATTTCCTGGGACCCAAAATTTCCTTGTTATAAGCAGAATTTTGTAATAGCAGTGCTCTTATGTATGTGTGATACGTACAGAGTGCTATGCATGCTTAAACCAATCAGCACAGACCCAGCAGCGTGTCAGTGAACATGTAGGTTTCTGCAAAAGATTTGTGGGGGGGGGGCAGTTGAACAATGAGACTGGACTGTGTTCGAGATGCGGATTCTGTGCGTTAACACCTCAATCAAAGGATATGTCAAGAACCCAGTGGTACAGTACCAAAGTGTGACACCATTTTGAACCAGGGATCTGCAATGCAAATGAATGAAGTACGGGCGTGTTGGTTCACCTGCTAGTTCTTGCGCTAACGCCTTTCACACGCATGACTGTGTGCATGATGTATTCACCTTAGTCCGCTACAGTACTATTGCAAGCAGGCTGAGAATTCAACTCCAAATGAAGTCCAGGAATTAGACTAGTACCTACCCGATAGGCTACATCCCATCGTCCGTTCACCTTCTCCCACTGCAGCAGCACCATTCCCCGCTCCTCCAGCACACTGCAGCAGATTTGCCGCAACAGCTTGGAGGTGAGCGACAGGTTGCACAGGCTAAAGGCGTCTAGGAACCGGGTCAGGTACCGTAGGAGCTCCAAGGGCAGCTGGCTGAGGTGGTCTGGCTCCAAAGGGAGCTCTGATTGGCTACTTGGACTCTGAGATGGTACTGCTAATTGGTCGGGTGTCTGGTCTGTGTCTAAAGAGTCATGTGACCCTTGCACTTCTGGCGTGTTTTCAGTGCTGATTTGGGTGTCCGGTTTTGGACCTTCCAGGTGATTTACAATTGACTCATTAAGACGAGCATCATTGCAGTTTCCTAAGCTCCTCCCTGATTGGTCCATTGTGTGTAAGGAGATGTCTGATAGGCTAGCCTGATTCTCAATGATCAAATTGGCATCCTGGTCCATTTTCTTTGACTCAACGCCGGATTCCTCTGTGAGCCCACCTGCCTTGGGAAAACTATCTGATTGATTTGTCACAGCAGCGTCTGTTTTATCTTCACTGTATTTCAAATTTTCCTTCATTAGGCTGGTTTCGTCCTTGCCATATGAAGAAACAGCCTCGGACACCCATTCCATTTCCATCATCGCATCTGCATCAACCTCACTGTGGTCTTCCGACTCGGCCAGCCGGCTGCTACCTTTACCGTCCACCCGTACCCCAAAGCTCTCCAGGTGCTCGTGATGCACGATCCTGGCCTTTCTCTCTCCAGGGAAGAAACGGCGCTGTGAGTAGGTACAACCGTAGGGTGCAAGCGGGCAGCGCTGCTCCAGCCAGCCGTTCAGGCCGCCATGGATGTCGCTGTGGACATTCTGGAAGTGAGATGCAAACTCGTCCCTTCGAAATACCTGTTAAGAATTGTTAATGGCCAAAATCGGTGGCTTATCCAATTCACACGGGGTTTTCATTAATTACGGGGACAAATTTATGGGATTCATGTCGCACAGATTACTAAATCTGTCAAAACTGGGTCCAACAAAAATGGCATTGCGGTGTTCTCGCTAACAGTGCCACCTAGGGTCAGTCTTCAGCCCCCCGACTTTTGATGAAAGGCTCATCTTTTTCACAAAATTTTCGGAAAGAAGTACGTCGCAGCTATAGACACGCAAGGTACTCTGGGTTGCCTGTTTCTTAAGCATGTGTACATCCAGCGCACCTTTGTCATTCATATGGAAAGGTTGACCCCCGCTACTGTTCAAATGAATTCTGTCCAATGAGAACTCAAAGAAAATGATGTCAAGCATCCTTAAGTAATCAGATCACTCCATTACCTTGTAAGGGTGGTAGCGACGAGCAAACTCCCGACCACCAATTTTTTTCAAAATTTAAAATTTCTTGAAAAAGTTAAATTTCCACACATTATCACTGGCATCCCCTAACTCATGGACAAGAAAGCACTGCCACTCAATGAGTAACACGAAGATATTAATTTTAACCCACCTGTGCACAGAGGAAGGTGTACATTGAGTCTGGCTTTGCCTGGTACCTTGTAATAGACTCCAATGACAGGTCTAGACTCAGTGATGCCTGCATTGGCGAATCAGAGTTGGTGACTGGAAAGGAGGCTACACCAGACCCTGGTATCATCTTAGGAGGCTGGATTAAAAAATACCAAATTGACAAAAAAATTAAATAATCCTTGCAGCACACCAGTCCATGAATGCTACCTCCCAATTTATCTTCTTGCCTCTTTCTTCACTGCTTCGTTCAGCTCTTTGGCAACCTTTTCCTCTGAGACGTGAATCTTCATCAACAGTTTGTTCAATTGGTGTTGCACCACTCAGGCATTCTTAAAAATGCATTTCAGACAGAACGTCTCATTGGGAGAGCTCCTTGAAATTTTAAGACAATCTCTTCTTGACAGAGGAACAAATTTGGCCTCGGAGCTCATGTTGTTTGTTCATTTATTTCAGAGTTTGTTCAAATGAAATTCAATCCAAAACCTTCTCCTAAAAGACAACTAGTGTACACCTTTTGTTCTCTCTTTTTGCTTACTGTGGTCTGCTATTAACTGTTTACATAATCAGCGGTCAAAATCAATCACTGTTCTGAGTCAGTCAGAAGCATGCCTACCTCAACCACAAGTATTTTGGAGTGACCCCTCCCTGGCGCTGCTGACACTTCGCCGGTCGTGGAGGGAGTGACAAAGAGGGCCGGCATGGGCACATCATTTAGGCTGCCTTCACTGCTGCTGGAGCTACTCCTGTAACCTTGCTGGACATCTCGACTGGATGGAGATGAGATCTGACCTGGCTACTCATAAGAAAAGAACGAAATCCATTCAACAATCATGACTATTATTTCGAGGTTCCATGCAACAGGTGTCTGATTTCAAATTAATTTTGAAATAATTTACACGTATAGTACTCACTCTGTGCAACTGCTCTTCCTCATTTGTACATGTAGCCCCTAGTAACGTATCCTTGATGACCCTGAGATGCACACTTTCGTCATGGCAATCACCTGGTGCGGCATTTTTTTCCGTACTCGGTTTTCTGCCCTCCAGACTTTGGCTATCCTCACCACAGTCTTTCATTGCATTGTGGGAGTCTAGAAGTCGCTCCATGCGTTCCTTCCGCCTCTCGCAGTGTGCGCAGTGAATGTACGGATAGGTGCTTTTCCCTAAACTGAAGTCCGCCTTTTCTGAGGGAGGGTGGCTGTCACCAGTCATGGCATGGATTGCTGTGGACAGCTGCTGCACCGTCTCCTGGCTGGCGCGGTAGAGCTCATCGCAGATGCTCTGGCGCAGGCCGGCGGGGCTGCGGGATCTCTTTCTCTCAGTTGCATTCTCCCACTGGTGCATGTCCTGTAGCAGATTTTCCAGCTCCCGCTGCTCGTCAAACTCCTTAACCGTGCTGCCATTGCTGACGGTCAGCTGGTCAGCCAGAGGTACGGCTGGGTGCCGTCTGTTCAGGTTGTTAGTCAGGATCTTGCGGGTACGGACTGAGGCTCGCATGGAGCGAGTCAGCATACGCTGGTCACGCAGCGCCAGGGCCATGTCCAGCTGCTCGCGGTTCACGTCCAGCAGGACCTGGACGGGTTGGTGGGATTGGCGCTCACTGGAGCAGACAGGCCAGCGGTTCCATTCCATGGTGCAGTGGACCAGGCTGGCTGGGCAGCCGGCTAGGTGACGTGACATTTGCGACCTCAGCACATGCAGCGGGCAGCCGTAGCCTGCGTTGATGCAGGCCACCTTCTCGTTGCCACACAGCAGGCTGTGCTCGGCCTGCTTGCAGGCATGGAACCGGGCCCCACAGTCCAGCTCACACGGAACGATACTACAAGCTGGAAGGCGCATGTTGCACCGACTGTCATAGCAGGCTTGACAGTGGTCATGCAGGTCTACTTCCGAAGGCATGCCTTACAGCAAGATTCAAAACGAGAAAAAAAATCCTCATATCAGTGATGAAATCATCGACGTACATGTACCACTAGCTCAGGTAGGATGCCATGATTCATTTACATGTATGTCCCAATGCAATGAAGACGTCGTCCAACCCAGAGGGCCCAATTTCATAGCGCTGCTTAAGCGAAAAATTTGTTCAAGTGTGAAAGAACCTTGCTTGACAAATCAGGTTACCAGCCAAAACTTCTTGTGATCTAGATTGTTTTGGAATAGTTTTTACCTGTCTTTCAGTTAGCATGATAGTCACATAGAGTTTGAGCTGGTACCTTTTGTTTATTAAGCAAGGTTTTTTCAAGCTTAAGCAAATTCTGTACTGCACATGCACTGTACAAAGAGTTACATGCATTGATAGCCGTTTACATGGAACCATGGAACTGGAAGTTAACGTGCAACTTCAGCGATCGTCCAATGGGAGCCTGCAAATCGTGGCGCGTCTGCCTTCGTGACAAAGTCACTTACGAGCCGGATAGAGGTACAGTGGGTCATAGCATCAGTAAAAGCTGATTAAAATATCTTTACAAGCAAATTAAAACTAATCTTTTCAGTGTGTGTGTCGGTTTTTTTAAATCAAAGGTTATTTCTCATTTTGTTGAAAAAACGGACACGTATATATTTTACATGCAAACAGCACAAGGTCAGTTCCATTGGCTTTGAGTGCTAGAACTAGTAGAAGGCCAGGACAAGGAACTCTGGAAAGACATGCAATGCATCCATGGTCATGGACAACAAAAAAGCATGACGTGCGTGACTGTCATGACTGTAGAGTCACCAGGTCCCTAATTTCCCCACCTATTTTAAAGTGGTTTCCACAGTTAGTGGCAAAATAAGGGACCTGGCGACTTGATGGTTATGCACGTTAGAATGCAAAATTTCACAAACCTTATTCCATGGTACATAAAACAGTCGTTATGTCTTTATGACATAAATTATCAAAACATTAATTATGACAATGAATAGGAGTCAGCCCAATCTAACACGTCTCAAACTCATAATGATGTGCTAATTAACACATACAATGGCTCAGGCCTATTTTTATCTTGTTTATGCTTCAATTTTTTTCTTCAAATAAATCCCTTCCATGATTTCATTCATTATCTCAGTTAATCACAAATATCATGCCGCTCAGTCATGTCAATAAAAAAATTCAAAACTGACATTCGATCGTAACAAAATGGGCATGATCGGGCTGATTAATCAGGTTCTACATTCTAGTACTGTACTACTATATGGCCTACTAGTACTAGGCCCGGCACTATGTAACGTTCTCGAAACAAGCACTTGAACTTGGAAGCAAAACTCGGCAGCTGAACCACTGCATTCTTACCTACGGTTCCTTTTTCAGCAGAGGCGATCCCTACAAACGCAGACGTCTCTTTTTGTCTGGCGGAACAGACCGGAATGCGACCAGGCCAGATCTACCAACTCGCCGGAAAGAAATTCCGCGAATTCCAGGCGAGCTTCCAGCGCTCGCGCCACTGTGACGGTCGTCGTACATTTATTTTTTTTACACGGACGACGTAGACAGCAAGAAGTTCGAAGGTCATTCCGTTGGTTACCAATGCCTGCTCCAACTATATTGATTGGACCCAATCATTGCGGGTACCAGTGGGAAATGTGCAATTTGTTGACACTTACGTAGCTGGTAAGCGGCGCATGACCGGTCATTTTCCTGCTGATCCGAGTATTTTCTGTCTCTTGACGACATGAGTTGATTCTGTCAGACGGTTACCAGTGATATTTTTTTATTAAAGGCCAGCTGACCGATAATATTTAAAGGGAAATGTTAGACCCGTAAACAGGGCCCGACGTTTACTCCTCCGTCATACGTCGGGCCCTGTTTACGGGTCTAGGCAAATGTCAGCCCTTAATGACGTTAAGTTTAAACTAGAGAAAATCAGTATAACTATTTCTGGGAATTTAAAATGGTACCAAATCTGTGTGTTATGACAGGGACGTCCATTGCCACATTTGGTAAAAACGGAAGCTTCGCAAAGCTGACAAACAATGAGCTCTGACCTTTGCAATTTACGATATCGGGGTGGACGTCAGCATATTCGTATGTAAACGTACCTTTAACTTTCAGGCAAACTCCTGAAAAATTTCACATAAAGAAATTTGTATACACACGACTCAGTGGTGTGTGACGACATTTTTTCAGCGCCTACCTGATCAACACGGCATGCATGCAAGGCAATGTTGTTTTGCATAATGGGCCCAGTCACGTGATTTGGTCTTTGAGGTACACTCAAAGGTGTACAGTTCTTATTAAAATCATGTATAATTGCAAATGTAATACCTCAACATTTTATTATAGCTAGCATCAGTCCCTTCTTGATTTTCAGCGCCCCGAGCTGGACCAAGAGAGGGCGCAATTTTCATAGCAACGAAGGACCCTTTGGTCACTTCGCTGGTTCACAAACTAATATGAAAGACACACGTTAGGGGCGCATCGCTACCAGCTATGAACCGAGCCTGGCTTTTTTAAACCGATGAGAGGGTGCTGCTGCTCAAGGCGGTTGAGAAAACTCACTCTTTCAGCCCTAAGATTTGCCAGAACGGGAGAAATGGCATTCTTATCGCAGTTTTTTTAATGACTCAATTTGAGGTCGCCAATTAAGTTGGGAAAGAAATTCCAACTAACGCGTCTTCCTGAAATGACATAACAGCAACAGCGCCCTCATTTATCAGAAACATGAAATCTTTTGCAAGAATGTGAACATTCCATGATCCACCCCCAAAAGGGAATGTCAAGTTCTGTACATGCATGTGGTTTCAAGCACCGTTTACAAAACCAAAATCAGTATGTCTGCCCAATGGAAGGCCCATCTACCATTGTTGGATTGTACACTGTCCGTGAATGCCTGCGCCTTACTGGACAGCAGACGCTTGCTTCTATTAAGATTTAGTGTATTTTATTGTGTAGTAATTAATTGCCTGAATAAACTTTAAATATTCCAGCAGCGTCAAAAATGCATGGAAGCTTCTTCCACTTTTCCACATTCTTCAATCACCTCTCCAACTTTTCCCACCTCATTTAAAGTAAGAAATGACCGACTCACACACACATAAAGAGAAATAAGAGATTCAAGGGTATTTCAAAGATGCATAAAGATTTGTTTTTATATACACGTGTTAATTAATATCATACAATGTACATGGTTTATAAAAGAAAAATGCTTTTCATACAATACAATCAGTTTCAGGCAAAGAACGTTTGGTTTTCCCCATTTTACAAAGGAAGCAAGGTTTGTTCACAAGGAAGTAACTATGTCAAAAGGCAGTTTATTTATGCACCCTCGTCCAACACAGGAAAGGGAAATAGCAGCTAGTCTGGTCAACACTGAGATAAAGTTTCAAAGAACACAACATACCACGCAGCTGTATTTATCAAGTGACCAGATCGATATGCAGTTCATTTCTTGCACCTGTATTGTGCATAAATCCTCTGGGGGACAACACTTCCCCCTCCCCCCCCAAAAAAAACTGTCTGCCTCTTAGAACATCTCGAAAGCATAACACATCGAAATCAGTTTGTCAAATGGTAAACGGAGAACATTTCTTCAGGCAGACACCACATCTGTATTTAGTTTGCATGTAACCGGCCACCAGCTAAGTTGTCATCGGATTTTATACTGCTTGCAATTGGCTCAGTCAATTCCTCGGAGTACAACCCATGTACAGCAGTCTGTCATAAATGCGAGTTATTGCCACTTTTAAAACTTCCTAACTGCTCATCTATCCCTTCACAAAATCAAACACCCCTCAAATCTTGGCCATGCCCAAAATAGGCCATTTAACTGTCGGAGACTGCAATCCAGCCATTCCACAGTACAGCTGTCTCTATAAAATGACCATGTGCTGTGACATATCACCAGGCCACCAAGTTCAACGATAAATAATGAAACCAAACTTCTGAGTCTCTGAACATAAGACATTAATTACACACATGAAAATGTCGAACAGTAATTTAAACTCTCAAAAATTTCCATTTCTTTGGTCACTCTGCTGAAGTTATTCTTCTTCCAGAAAGTTTCCACTCTTACCCAGAAATGAACCAGTGTACTGAAACTGTTCAATAAGGAGCTAAAGATTTCATCAAATTTTATAGTGTGACCCACGACAAAGTTTTAATTACACTTAAAACAAGAAAGATTGCCCATCACAACCCCAATGTCTTGTGATGTGAATTCTGCTAAGCAACTTCTTTTGCCATCTCAGAACCATTTAACAGAAAACAAAACATACAATGGAGAGTGGAGGTCTACAGTCTCTAACGAGGCTTGAGCAGTAACTTTTAACTACATGTACATCAAATGTTTACTCACCAAGCACCCCCCCCCCGGGCCGGTTCATACTTAACGTGAAAGCGAACAACGCAAAATTGTGACAGATCAAATACTTGTGCAGCAACTTTTGCAAAAGTTGAAGACATTTTAACTTCATGTTCACCTGAAGTATGAACCAGTCAGCCTTAACACTTTTGCATTTAATATTTGCCTTTAATTTCAGCCCTCCTTAATTCAGAGGGTCATTGGTAGCATTTACATAAATACATGCAACGCTTGTGTACATTTTAAAAACATGTAAGTTCAACAGAGGGAAAAGGTAAACTGGAATTGTACAATGAAGTCACAACAATGAATCACATATGTACCACTATTTAAAATTATTGCATGGATTTTTAGTTCGGGCTGTCAGGCACATTCAAATATACAAGCAGCACAGAATGGAATTGCTTTTTCCCCTTTTGTACTTGATTTACCTACAATCAACCAGTGTTCAATCTATAAGTGTTAAGGTTAAGCCGACCTGTGAACCAAAATGTTAACTAAGAGAAGTTACTTTTCATGCAATCAGCATTTTTCGTACAGCACACGGCAGAGTTTTTTTTAAAAACTTGTTTGGCTTCGTCATTTTTTCCCCCGAACTTGTTTTAAAAAATACAAGTACACTGAATCAACGTTACTGTTTTTAGAACGCAACTGGGAAGCTGAAAATTAACAACGGACACAACAGGCAAGTGCAGCAGTGACGGATTTTTTGTAATCAACGGACCATACCTCAACTCACACAAAATGCTTTGATTCTACCCTCATTCCACGTCACAGGACAAACCTGTGTAGGTTCTCTCTTTGCCAGTTTTGCCCCCAGTAGGTATGTTGATGACACCAGCCTGCTGTGGCATAATCGCGCAGACTTCACGGAAATAATTCTACACACTCTGACGGGAGGGACAGGACGGTGTGCCCAACCACAGGTCAGACTGTAGTTGGATGAGACTGCTTGACCTTACAATTACTGACAGACTTCGGAGGAGGAACAGGCTGCTCTTTGTTTTTACATGCACACGAGATCGCTGCGACACGGGACAGTCCCTTCCTGTATGCTGCCCCTATAGGAAGGTACACATCAACGCATCCTGGCCCCATTATGTCCTAAGTCTAGGAGTACGCCGAGTTTCAATTCAAAACACAAGTTCGTCTTTGACAGTTGCTGCATCGGGATCCGTGACAAAGGTTCACCGACCCTCTTCCTAGCTGAGAGTCCATTCTTGAAGTGCGAAAAGATACATGTAAAACTTACTTCTGTCATGTTCCCCCTTTTTACGCAATCATCTCCTACAGTACTACAGACAGGGGATGCTACTTTTTAAACTAACGATTAGGAAAGTGAATGTTGTTGAATATTAAGATGAATATCTCCAATTTTATATTCTTGGAAACTTACTTTTTGTAGAAAAAATAATGTCAAATATACAAGTACAAGGAACACCATCAAAATTGTACAGCAAAGTCAGCTGTACACAGATATATCATATACCGTCAAAGAAGCAATCGGACCTATGTTTCCCAAGGGTTCTTACATGTACATGTGCATTTCAGCACGTCCAAGCACATGGTTAATTTATGCCAGACGCCTGTCAAGATTTAAACACTTCCAGTTTGTCCCTCTTGGTACACCCCAAGGGCAGACCAAACAGTGCCTCTTTTAGTCCACTGGCATTTCAGACTGCCAACAATGTGTGACACATGACACACTACTGCGCTTATGTGCAGCGGCCACGTTCTTTCTGTAAGTCTTCCAACTACTCAGTAAATTATGCATCGAGGTTGAGCAATATTGTGAATCAAAACATTTCCAATTCCCCCCCCCCCGCCACGTGAAGTAAAAATATCCACGCACACAACTTGCAGTCACCAAGTTTGGAGCTAATGGGTCCC